TTCACCGGATCATGGCCAGATGCAGAGAGCAGTGGGGAGTTCTGTGGTGCAGCCTCTCACACTCCTTCACACTCGTTCTTATGTTATTTTCTTTTGGTGCGAGCGTTTCCGCAGTAGAATGACAGATACGGCTTGTCCTCTGCAGCAGCTGGGCCTACAGTCACCATTCACATGTAAATCTGCGCTGCTTGCTTCTCACCATACTTCTCAGATCCCACAGAGGCATTGTAACATAAGTGCTTCATCTCCAGTACACTGTGATCTCATATTAGGCATTATATCTTAGAGTATTTCATCCATCAAGCTGCTCTGATTGTTTCAGAATCAGAATCAGAATCATTTTTATTGCCAACGTAAGTAACGGGAGGTCACAGACTTGGAAATTGCTTTGGCTCAGTGCAACAGTCAAAAAGAGATAATAAAAATAAGAATAAAAAACACTTCTAAAGAATAAATTTAAATTTAAAATAGAGTTACAGTTACTATTTACAATATACAAGTGCACATGGTGCACACAATGTAAGGTGACAGCAGTACAGTGAAGTAAAGTGACGTATGATGGGCAGTAAAGTGACTTTATAAAGGGCGGGGGGACAGGTTAAGAAGTGTTCAAGAGTCCAACAGCAGAGGGGAAGAAACTGTTCTTGTGGCGGGAGGTTCTAGTCCTGATGGACCGCAGCCTCCTGCCTGAGGGGAGTGGTTGGAATAGTCCATGTGCAGGGTGAGAGGGGTCGGCTGTGATACGACCAGCCCGGCCTCGAGCTCGGGCGACGTACAGGTCCTGCAGCGATGGAAGGCTGCGGCCGATCACTTCCTCTGCAGAGCGCACAATGCGCTGTAGTCTCTGTTTGTCCCTGACTGTGGCTCCAGCGAACCACACGGTGATGGAGGAGGTGAGGATGGACTCGATGATGGCCGTGTAGAACTGCACCAACATCTGTGCAGGCAGCTTGGCTTTCCTGAGCTGCCGCAGGAAGTACATCCTCTGCTGGGCCTTCTTGATGAGGGAGCTGATGGTCGGCTCCCACTTGAGGTCCTGGGTGATGGTGGTGCCCAGGAAACGGAAGGACTCCACAGAGGTGATGGGGGAGTCCATCACGGAGGGTGGGGGCGGGGGGACAGTGCTCTTCCTGAAGTCCACAATCATCTCCACTGTCTTCTGGGCGTTCAGCTCCAGGTTGTTACCACTGCACCAGGACACCAGCCGGTCCACCTCCCTCCTGTAGGCGGACTCATCGTTGTTGGAGATGAGTCCAATGAGGGTGGTGTCGTCCGCGAACTTGATCAGCTTCACGGAGTCGTGGCTGGAGGTGCAGTGGTTGGTGTACAGGGAGAAGAGCAGGGGAGAAAGAACACAGCCCTGTGGGGCTCCTGTATTTATAATCCGAGAGTCCGAGACATTCTTCCCCAGACGCACTCGCTGCTTCCTGTCCGTCAGGAAGTCAGTGATCCACCTGCAGGTGGAATCGGGCACGTTGAGCTGGGAGAGCTTGTCCTGGAGCAGGGATGGCAGGATTGTGTTGAAGGCAGAGCTGAAGTCCACGAACAGGACCCTGGCGTAGGTCCCCGGGGAGTCCAGGTGCTGTAGGATGTGGTGGAGGGCCAGGTTAATGGCGTCGTCTACAGATCTGTTGGCTCTGTAGGCGAACTGCAGGGGGTCCAGGAGGGGGGAGGTGAGGGACTTGAGATGGGAGAGAACCAGGCGTTCAAATGACTTCATGACGACAGACGTAAGTGCTACAGGTCTGTAGTCATTGAGTCCTGTGATCCTGGGCTTCTTCGGGACGGGGACAATGATGGAGGATTTGAAGCAGGCCGGGACATGGCAGGACTGCAGAGAGGTGTTGAAAATGTCCGTGAACACAGGAGTAAGCTCACTGGCGCAGTGTCTCAGAGTGGCCGGAGACACGTGGTCCGGGCCAGGAGCTTTGCGGGGGTGCAGCCTCAGGAAGAGTTGTTTAATCTCTTTAGCGGCTATTGTTAGGCTGGGGGCAGGGCTGATGGGTGGGTCGTTAGAGTAGTGGGGGGTGGGGGAGGGAGAGGTGTCAGGGGCAGCATCAAAGCGACTGAAAAATAAGTTCAGATCGTCAGCTAGCTTGTGGTCATCAGCACAGGGGGGGGCTTTGGGTTTGTAGTTGGTGATCTCCCGTAGGCCCCTCCAGACAGAAGCAGTATCGTTGTTACCAAACTGCTCCTGTAGTCGTTCTCTGTGCCGGGACTTGGCTGCTTTCAGTTCTCTCCTGAACTGATATTTAGCTGCTTTGTAGCCGCTGCGGTCCCCCTCCCTGAAAGCAGACTCCTTTGCTTTCCTGAGCTGCCGGAGTTTAGCAGTGAACCAGGGTTTGTCGTTGTTATAGATGACCCTGGTCCTTGTTGGAATGATGCTATCCTCACAGAAGTGGATGTATGACGTCACAGTGTCCGTATATTCATCCAAGCTGTCTGTGGCAGCTCTGAAAAGGTCCCAGTCTGTAGATTCCATGCATGCGCGCAGCTCTTCCACAGCTTCATCAGACCACACTTTGGAGCTCCTCACTGCAGGTTTCGAGAGCTTTAGTCTCTGTCTGTAAGCAGGAACCAGATGTATCATGGAGTGATCTGAGAAGCCGAGGGCTGGCTTGGGAACAGCGCGAAAAGCTCCGCGCACGGTGGTGTAACAGTGATCCAGAGTGTTCTCCTCTCTGGTCGGGCATTTGATAAACTGTCTGTATTTGGGTAATTCCTGGCTCAAGTTTCCCTTATTAAAATCCCCCAGGATAATAATCAGAGAGTCCGGGTATAAGCGTTCCATACACAGTACTTGCTCTGCGAGTGCGCGCTGAGCCTCGCGCGCGTCCGCGCATGGCGGTATGTAAACAGAGGCAAGAATGAATGAAACAATTTCCCGCGGGGAGTAATATGGATTACAATGAATGAAAAGATATTCCAGAGCAGGAGAGCAGTGCTTGGAGATCACTGTCACATCGTTACACCAGTTTGTATTGACGTATTAAGAACCTTTTAACGACCTCTTTACACTCAGCTATTCATTCTGTTCTCTATATCATTGCATTGTTGTCTGTGCGTCTATAGGGGTTGGATCCGAGCTTGGATTTAATTCCCTGACCTAATTTTAACGTCTTTGTGTGACGCATTAAACACAGACCTGGGCATTCTGCGGGCCGAGGGCAACATGCGGCCCAATTCTCGACTGCCCTTGGACCCTTTCCGACAACAATTTGTCAAAAACACAAATCTGTAAATCAGTCTACACTACTCGGCCTTCTTTGCATTTGGTTCAATTTTGGATCAATCCAGGCCAAACCAAAATGGAATATATAAATAGAAATGGTTTCCTCAAAATACCTTGATAATGTTGATAAGTTAAAACAAATGAATAGCTACATATGATAAAGATGAGCGGTTGGATGAAGAAAGATTTGATACATTTTACACAAACAAATATATCTTGGCTCCATGTTTCCTTCTTCTTCTCTTCTTTTATTATTTGTCCATTAAATAATTGTCATAACTGAATGAGCTTTCAAATAAATAGCAATAATGCTTTGTCAAATTTCATGTTAACTGTGTGAAAACGGGGGTCTGGCTAATGTGGCCCCCCATAGAAAATAGTTGCCCACCTCAGTGTGCATTTCTCCTGTGTCTGGGTTGGGGCTGTATATGTGTATATTTTAATTTAATCACAATTTGACAACATATTCACCACATCAGAAATAATATCAACATATTCCTCGTTAGATTTTGTTAGAATTGTTCCAGTCAGCTCTTTTGCTGAATTCAGGTCCATTTTCATATTCATTATCTTGGTAAGCTTTTAAAACGTGAACTTTGACCATCCTCCCACTATCGTAACGACAATCTTACAGCCCATTTTCAAAATATCATAATTTTTTTGAAAGCTGTGAGCCAACTATCAACATTAAAGGATTGATATATCCCACTTATTATCTCTCATTTCTTATAACTCAATTTACATACACACAATATTAATTTTTGTGTAAAATCCTCCAGGTCTATTCTGGGTACAAGGTTCATACTTCTTGAAAGCAACTCTTTAGGAACAGTGTGAAGGATGTACTGGTGTGATGTGTCCTCGACAAGACACCTTCTTTCTTGGACAATTTTTATTTTTTTCTTCTTGAGTGATTCTATCCATGCCAGATGTGACATGTAAAATTCTCCTGTGTGAGATCAATAAAGTCTATCTTATCTTATCTTTATTGCCCTCATGGTCGAAACAGGGAATAAAGGAACGCTCAGGGTTTAAATCCACAAGACTAATGAGACATGGACAGGACAGACAACAGGAAAAGAAAACACAGTAAGTTTGTAGATAAATAGATTACACTATAGTATCTGGTATCGTGTGGACCCTCTCGCTTCTCAGCAAGAGGGTCCTGGGTTCGAATCCGGGTCGGAACAGGGCCTTTCTCAGTGGAGTTTGCATGTTCTCCCCATGTCTGCGTAGGTTTCCTCTGGTTGCTCCGGTTTCACCTACCACTAAAAGCATGCATAATAGGTATGTGTGTAATGAATGTAACGAATGAGTGAATGGATGCTGTTGATTGGGGCTTTGATGCGCCTGTGTGTCCGGCATCTCGCTTCCGTCATCACCGTGTGTAGAGAGAAAATCCGAACTCTGAACATTGTAAAGCGCTTTTTGTAACCTTGGTTTGTAAAAATGCGCTATATAGATGAGATACTTACTTACTTACCCCACAACAAACCAGTATCTGGCCAACCACGGCTTCCAGCAGCACTCTGACAAATCACTATCAATTAGAACACTTTAGTACCAGTGCAGCCTGGAGAGAACAAGGGCCAAACAGGTACAAAAAAAAAATGTAGTACCATTCTGTTAAAGATGCTCTGTTGTTTCCATTGCCTGTCGGTGGTCATTATATTTTGGCTGATCTGTGTCGTCTGCGCTGCTCTCATTGCTGCTGTCGAAACATGCTAAACTAACTTCTTCATGTTTGTCCCTCCTCTCCTCTCTCTACTCACTCCTGCTTCACCCGCTGTCTATGGTCTGTCTGTGTCTGTACATGTTGTGTTGTGTGTGCTTTTGCTTGCTTCCGGTCAGTGTGCGGCCGCGGTCTCTCTCGGGGTCCCCCACACTCCTCTCCTCCTCTGGGAGCCTGGGTCATGGCTCCGTGTTGCCCTCCAGTCAAACCGTGCACAGCTTTGTCAGTCTGCACCACCACTACTGCTGCTCCTCCGACCACACACTGCAGGAGGACAGGTAAGGGGGATCTGTAGACACCCACAAACTCCCCCAAAACTCCCCCCCTGAAGGCCCTGCACCCAATGGCAGTGTTCATTGCCAGAGTGAAGACGTGCTGTAAAACTGTCACATTGTGGTTTCTATCTACTTGTATGACGTGTTATTTTGAGAGAAACTGAAAGTGAAAACTTGCCCTGGGCTCTAGAAGTTATTAAATGTGCCCATTAAACGCAATGTGGTGAATCATTGACATGCTAGAAATGTGTTAAAAGTAAAGTAGGGCTGTAACAATGTAATAATAATAATGATGATAATAAAATATTCTATTAAAAGTGCACCTTTCATTTCAATTAAAACCTCAAACCTAAAATTCAACAGATCAACAAAAGACAGTATAAAAAAACACAGCACCTCAAGCACAAAGCCATAAAGAGTTAAAAGCTCATTAAAGAATAATAGTTGTTTAAACAATAATGTTTTTAGTTTATTTTAAAAATGAATCATTACTTGTAACTATAAATGATTGAAATAGTAAATAGTCTTTAAAGACTTTAAAGAGATTTTTTAATAAAAAAGTGTCTCCAGGGGCATCACCAAACCTTTGTTTTGGTCAAATGTATAAATAACATTCCATATTCACTTTTAGGATCCAAACAATGGATCAATTAATCAATAGAGTAATCTGACAACTAGTTAAATATCAACATTATTGTTTTATAAATACTGTCCCTATAGTACACACAAACTCTGCATTGCTGAAAACTAAATTGGGTACAGGGCTCATCACCTGCTTGTCACAATCTGACCTCATCAAATCTCAGAAGCTAAGCAGAGAGGCCAGGTCAGTACTCGAATGGGAGACCACTGAAACAACTGTGCCTCAGTGTTGCAGCTGCAGCTGTAAACAAAAGACACACATGACTTCAGTGGTGATCGGAGGTTTCAACGACACCACCTGTGTAGGCGAGTTTGTTTGTATGGCACAAAGCATACACAAGGCAGCTCAAAGTGCTTTACAAAACAAGAATAATAGAAGTGAAGATACCGTCCTTCAGTTGTATGCACAGCCCCTGTGCTCCTCAGAGTCCCAGTAGGAGGTCAGTCCCTGTGCTCCTCAGAGTCCTAGCAGGAGGTTAGTCCCTGTGCTCCTCAGAGTCCCAGTAGGAGGTCAGTCCCTATGTGCTCCACAGAGTCCCAGCCAGTAGGAGGCCCGTCCTCACTGTCTGGTAGCAGTCAGCCACAGGGCAGCTGTAGCTCTTTTGTGTTGGATTCATCTTCGGTGAACGGGTTTTCAATAGTAATTGCCAAAATCAATTTAAGCGTTAATGGAAGGTCAATAAAAGAAGGCCAACACAAAAGCCTTTTTGTGACACAAACTATTCTGTACATGGCGTTCACTGAGTTTTGAAAGAGCTGTGCTCATTGTATAATAGAAAGAGCAAAAGTTTTTGAGGAAATGCATCTTTAATGTATGTGATTATTTCGTCTGTGGCATTTCCTCCTGCCGTGCGCTGAGTGCTTGTTCATTCGCATCCTCGCACTTGTGGATGTGACAAATAGAAGGAGTTGCCTCCGTCACACAGCGAGACGGAGCAGTCGTCTTCAATAAGCTGTGGGACTGAGGAACTGAGTCACTCTGAACCTGCTGAGTCTCACCCCCCTCTGCAGTATGCCCTCCTCATCCACCACCACACTGACACTGCCCCCTCATGGCTCTGCAGGGAACAAGATCAGCAACAATATGAGACGTTTAAATTAGGGATGAATGAAGTGAGTCAATAATGTGTTAACTCTTGACAGATTGCACTTTAGGACCACTGCTACACACGAGTTTAGCTTCTGAGATATGACTAGATCAGGCTGTGGTCTTGATAACTCTTTTGGTCCAAACCCCCCCATGCTCCACCCTGCTCTTCGTGTGCCTCTGTGTGGTCACATGTCCTTTCTTCTGTCTGTGGCTCCAGAGAAGAGGCGGCAGAGGAGAAGGTCCATCAGTTCTGTTGCTCTGCGTCCGGCTGCAGTAGTCCGTCGTCACGGTGATCCACTGAGGACACAAACATTTAACTCTTCTTCTGCTGCATCAAGTTTTCCTGATCAAAAACACACTCTTCAAACTGTGCTCCTCCACACCCCCCTATTGAGCCGAGAGAAAAGTCATACGTAAAACCTCCTCAAAGGCAGAGATAAGAAACATTTGTGGTGTGGTACTTGTGTCCAAACACCACTGTATAAAGAACATTACGGTTTAATCAGGTTTATTGACATTCTCTGCCTCTGAACACAAGATCACTGGACTATTTGCATAAAAACTGAACCTGGAAAGAAGCCTTTTAAACATTTTGCATCTAAAATAGTTTACTTTCAAACATTTGCCAAGTTGGACACTGGTGCCACTTTCACATTTTAATTTGGTTTGAGTATTGTATAAACATAACTAGTTAACTGCTGTATTATCATTGTGCTTATGTTTGTGTTGTTTTGAGACTCTATGCCCATGAAACATGGGCATTGAGTCTGGTACTCCCACTGAGCTCTACATTTAAAGATTTATATTTGTGGCTTGACAGACCAAAAAATAGTCTTTATAAGTCCAGACTCTAGTCTGTAAAGTAAATGTCAGTGAGAAAGAGAAATAGTTAGAAATGCCATCCTTATATTGTGGCTTTTTAATAGTTGTCATGCCAACTATACTACGAGAGACCCTCTACCCCCCTTTCGGAACGGTTCCACCGCCCCGTTTTAACCGGTACCAGGTACCAGAATTTCAGAATATACCAGAAGAGGAACCCACATGTTTTAGTAGGGGAAACCGGAGCACCTGAAGGAAACCTACGCAGACACAAGAAGAACATGCAAACTCACTACTTGATGCCACTGAGTCATTGTCTTATTTTTATTTGTTTATTTATAAAGATCCAATTGAACAGTGAAACAGTTATTTAGTAGTTATTAGGTTGATGTGGTAAACGAGTCCTGATGTCAGCAGTGGTGACATATGTGTTGCTCATGCTGATGTCCTTTATGTTCTCGTGTCTTATGAGTTCAAACGCTCTCAAGCTGTCAGAAAGCATCACTGTTTCTGCTCATGACTCTTCGGCTGTTTTTAGACTTGGCTCACGTCACTTCCAATGTGCTCATAATTAGGGATCTATGCAAACACAGCGTCTCAATATGGACACAACCATATGTACTGCTGCCAGGGGTCAGCACTGGACATCACCTCCGATATTATAGCTCCATACACTCAGTAACCGAGAACACATACTTAAACACGACACATTATTATAGGTACTCTGTGTAAATTTGCTCCAAATGAAAAAACATGTTAACTAATTTTTAAGAATATTTACCCCTACCATGTTTTTGAACTGTTGTCATAGGCTTAGAATTTCACTTATAAATGAACACGAGAGCTGATGACTCTCCATGCCCAGGCGCCATCATGAAATACATCGGTTGATAAGGGATAAAAAGGAAAATAGTTTTTGTTTCACAGGTGCAACTAATAACGTTGCTAGGAACCATGAAGGACCACAGTTATGTAAAAGAACAATCCGAACAACAATCTTTTAGAAAAGAATTATAAAAAAATCTAGAAACCAGCGTCATAACTGCAAACTGTCAACATCACAAACCACAAGCACAGAAAGACAGAGTTAAAACAACCGGAGGCACATTGAGATCCGGTCGTTTATCAAACTAAAGGATTCTTTCTTTGGCGTTGGGGACCACTGTCAAAGTCGACGTTTTGTCCTTTGAAACTACTGTAGTACCTTACACTGCAGTATATGATCTTAATGCCAGATGGCAGTAAAAACATAATTATTAGTCTTCTTTACAATAGCTCCACTTGCTGCATGATGCACCTGAACAAAGCACTTGTTTTTTAATGTAGTTTGGTTTGGTTAATTTCTTTAAAAAAATATTTAAATTTAATAAAAATATATTCATGTTAAAATATATTATACACATTTATGTCTGGACAAAATGTTTAATGCAGATTCTTGTTGTGCACTAAATACTCTCACTCACTTTTGATGAACTAGAGCAAACGTTTTAGTTAGAGAGACACTTTAGTGCTGGGGCCGACAACATGGATTTTAGAATTGTTTTCACTGGATTTGTGCTGTTCTGCCCTTTAAAATTGGGTATGATGTCCATATTGATTCACACAACTAAATTTTGACCTTGCTGTATATGGAATATTGTGACACAATTAATAACAAATGTCAGTACATACAAATACACGACTGAGCTTTACAACAAAGTACAGCATGATTCTATGGTGGAGCTGAAGTTGGTTGGATGACATTACCTCGATGGCTCCTTTGTGTTTGCGGCAGAGGGTCACACCACACAGCGGGCTTTAGTTTGTACAGTAGCATCTCACGCTAATTTGTTTTTAGTTAAGATTAAGATATTCTTTTTTCGTCCCACAGTGCAGAAATGTCAGTGTTGCATCACAAGTGACAGAACAGTAGGAATGAGGAACACACAGCACAAGATAAATGAACAATAACTCTATACTAAAACAAAATCTCAGAAGCAGTATAAAATCTCTCTCTTTAGCAGAATAAGGAAAGAAATCTGAAAATCTGCAGCTTTAGCACGATGAAGAAGCAAGACTTAAGAAAACCCCTGACTTTAGCATCATAAGGAGCAAGTGTAAAATGCTGTATATATAGTGTAAGTAATATTATAGTTGTATGTTTACATCTGTACATGTTAGCAGTATGAGGGCCTTGGACCAAGTTACTCAGTCAAGACAGTAGCACATTCAGACTTTATTAAAGTTATTAGTTTTTTCCAAAGTACATACTATTATACTTGTATTGTACTATACATACTATAGTACATAATATTGCAATAATCGCCTTTCAGTTTCACATCAGCATCTATCATGTCATCACCCGCGTATCATCACATGTTTCTTATTGCCAGATACGGGGCACAGTGCACCCCCCGAGTATCGGCCCTGAACAAAACCATACAGGGGCCTATTATCATCAGCTGAACGTTCATTCATTCATTCATTCATTCTCTACCACAAAGTATCAGACAGTTATTGTAATGTTTGACAATGTTTTGTTACCAGTCTGTCTTAAACATCTGTTGTTATTTAAATTATGTCTGGAATAGTAAATTAGGTTATGTTTTTTATCAAAATAAATGTTTACAAAATCACAAAGATACTCAGACGGTGAAACTGGGAGAATTAAAATATTGTTCAAAAGTCTGTTCACTTCTGTAGTTCAACTTACAATGAGAAACTAATGTGTGACTTATTACAAAGAGAGAAACATCAATTTGTTGATAATTATGACACTGTAAAAACTTAAAATGTGTGAAATGGACTGTAAGGTATATCATCAACATATGTCATTCAGTTTATTCATATACAGACTTAAATCACACTGGCAGTCGTCTCGGAGGACATTACAAAGTTGTTTATTCGCCAACAGATCAAACCGTTCAATCACAAGAAATACATGGCTTATTTGGAGCAGGATGACCTCTGTCCACAAATGTTCATAAATGTCCATAAATCCTGATTTTCTCCTACGGGGGATCAAAAAAGTATCTATCTATAATTATCCTGCATCTGTACAGGATAACTCGAAAAAAGAAAAAAAATTACAGTGGGACATTTTTTTGAGAGAGGGGTCCGCTCCCACAGACAGAGACAGGATCCTGGACTGACGCTGTAGATCCCTAGAACGATACGATCCGTATCGCTATGAGAGCAAATGATTTTGATAAAACGATAAAATTCAATACGATACAGTAGATTTTGAACGATATATTGATACAGTAATATTGGCTTTTTCTGTAAATAAATGTTTTACAGTAATTCAACTTGGAAATCTAACTCCGATTTATAGTGCTGAACAAGAAATACAACTTTTTTTTACAAATTTAAAAAAACATTTATTTTGCCCAAGAGCTAACTTATAAATAACTCACATGAATAAAAGATAATAAAACAGATGTATAACAATGCAGTGCTTAACAAATGTTTACAGCACCACCTAAGTGCTCAAGATTAAATCATATATTTTCTATTTCTGTGGTGGTTAAATAAGAACGAATCTGAAGCTGGATTTGATGGAAATAAGTCCAGAATTAACAAGGACTATTTTGTTATTCCAATTGATTATTTTCTTAATATTAAAAAAAATGATACTGTTAATTTGAAGTTCTTGATGTAGTATTACTAAGTTCTTTATGTTGTCATGGTGGTCCTCACCTACCGCTGCTACCATTATCCATGTTGTTGTTGTGAGCTTGTGACGTAAATTTACAGTGCTGCTGCAAAGGCTTGTTGATGACACGGGAGAAAAACAAATTACATTCGTTTAGATTAACATTCAGACAACAAAGAATGTATAATTCCATTGCAGAACTATATCGATACAATCAACGTTTTTCCATTTAAAACGATGTAGTGTCGATGTGCGGCTAGGGTTGAGGCCAAATAGCTGAGCGGCGATCGATGTAGCTGGGTCGCAGGGGAGACACATCGATACATTAAATAAATGTATCGTTGCGCCCCTACTGGTTTCACTTTTTCAGTTCAATTACAAAAATAAACTAACTTAAAAAATGATATCATTTTCTGAGTTTTGAACCCAGAAGTAAAAGTTCTAACATGTTTCCATCTTGTCCCACACCAGTACAATTAAAGACATGTTTACTAAAGCCAATTTTGTTATCATTGAGTAAATCCTATTGAAATGTTTGCCTAATGTCAACAAGTTCAGTTCAGGATAAGTGGTGCGTGGGAATGTTGTCTTTTTATGTTGTAACTTGTGCTTTTCCCTCTCCTGCAACACGCCCTGTTTTGAGAAATTGCTCATAGTTGTCTTAGCAAAAACGAAAGTGCAACAGAAAGCTCTCATAAATCTGACTAGTTTAGTTTGAAAGGTTTTACTAAGGATTGATTAGGACTCTGTAAGCTCAGGAAATAAAAATAGCCAAATATTTCATTCAAGTCTGTACACACACGTTTAAAGTCCATATCAAATACTGTATGTATACAT